TTTCTAAAGGAGATAAAAGTGGTCATTTTTGCATATGTTGAATATACCTATCTGAAGAGCATAGAACTCAAAGTGCTTCAGGTTTGGGATTTTGGAAAATTTGCATACATATTACATTGTATCTTGGGGATGGGACTCAAGCATAAAATGTATTCATGTTTTCTGCTCACCTTGTATACATAGCCCAATAGCAATTGCTGACAACCTTTTCAAATATTTAACTATAACTTGTCAAATGAAACAAGATATGAAAGGATCTACTTGTAGACACTAAAAAAGTTTAAGATTTCTGAGCATTTAGGTTTCTGGATTATCAGATTATGGATATTTTCCCTAAACTACAAAATTCAAATGAAAGAAAAGCAAATATCCATTGCATATTATCTCACACAATATTGTATTCCCACAATGCAGTCCTGCAAATCAGTTTTATCTAAGAAATTTCTGCAGCTTATTTATACATATTTCTCCAACTTTGAACTATCAAGGATTACACAAAATGATGAGAAATGAGTGTATGAAAAGGCTTATTTCTTAAAAGGCACTGTACATCATTTCAACGGCAATGCAAACAGAAACGCATGAGCATAGGCATAGGAACCATGCAAAAAGTTACTGGGTAAAACTTTCATCCTTTAAATCCCCCTTTTTTTATTTCTAATTCAAACAAGAGTTGGCTGTTTTCTCAACATGTTATAGTCAATAATAAAAACAAAAATAACAGAGAAATGGCTGAGTACAAACTTCCATTTCCTGCTGAATCCAAACTATCAGCTCTTTAAATCGTGTTCATGGTAAGCAGTAATGAATAGACTTACAGTGGAAACACACCTGTGAATAGACTTCTGTGCTCGCCAACGCGTGCTTGTCTTAGTTCCCCCAGTTTTTAACCTCTAAGGACCCCATGTGTTACCTTTCCCTGTAGGTTCTCAACATTTGCTACACATCTGACAGGTAAAGACTTTATTACACATAACTGATTTGCTTGAGGATTTTTTTGTTTTGTTTGCTTTGTTTACTGTTTGTCTAGTTATATAACATTGATCTCTCCTTCAATCATCTATAATTACCCACTGGTCGTGATTATTGGTAGTTCTACAATGGATCAAATACAATCAGGGCAATAAAGACGAGGGGGTGTCAAGCAGTGTTTACTGCTGAAACCATATTCCAGTGGCTGTTTGTCACCACACATGCCTATCATGCATGTAGCCCTGCATATGTCCACTGAGGCAGTGGGACCACCTGGTACAGTGCTCTGGCACAGAAGTTAACCCAAATCTACTCCCAGGATTTTCTATAAAAGCACCAGTAGTCATGGTAGGGCCTGAAAAGCACTGACTGTTACTCCTCTGTGTTGAAGCGTGCCAGTCAAAACCACAGCATGTGTATTTTCACTGAGCTGAGTTTACTACTATTTAATATTCTCAAATAGTTCATAGACCCAACCTCTTACTGGTTCTGTTGGACATTTCAGCCTAGTAAAAACAGGGCGAAAACCAAACAAACCCTGTGGCTCAGCTCTGGTTCATCAAAGCCAAAGAGCCCTACCAGTGAGAGGTTTTGACTACAAATCTGTCGTGGCCTCCAGGGTAAGGTTCTCATCTCTGTGATTAATTTTCTTCAGTTACAGAATGAGAACCCCTTCAGACCTCAATTTCTGATACTCTTAGTTCTCAAAGTTGGGAGAAGTGAGTGAGCAGTAAAAAAACATTTTATTGCCTGTCTGAATAGGAAGATACAGAATAAAATATACAATGGATTAGTGACTGTGCAATCATCATGTTACTTCTTTTATAAAACCCAACTGTATAATTCAAGACTTAAAGTAAGTTTTGGCATTAATTGTTGGCTTGTGCATCAAATTCACATGAACACAGTTAAATTCCCATTTTATTTTTTCCTAGGAGGAAACCTGACTGCCAAGAATTGTTCCAGCTCCCTTAAGCAAGCAGCATGTCTTAAAAAAAAGAAAAGAAAAAAAAGAAAGTGGAGGTCCTTCTGAATTAGATAAATGTTCAGTTGTTACAGGATCTCCCTATTTAAAATATAAATCACTAAAGTTCATCTGATTATGCCTAAGGTTCTCAATATTTAAAAACAAAAACAAAAAGTCTAACCATTCCAAATAATTTTGCATAGAATATACGCAGTGCTTTTCTCCTTTCATGAAGTTGGGTTTATTTTGGTAATGTCTGAGTAACATTACATCAACAGTTTCCTCAGTAGCATTGTGTGAGTACACCTGTTTGCCAATTCAAATAATTGCTAGAGAAACATTCTATTTAAACAGGAAGAGCCAAGAGAGCTGCATTATTTGAACAACCAAGGGAGAGTACCCTTCCTTAACAAACTGCAACAAGTATTCACAGTAGAAATGAGCCAGTAGTAAATGACTTTTCTCAAAAGAAGCCTAAGAGAAACTATTCCAAATACAAATTGCCTCTTGATTTTTACCAGATAATAATTTGTACATAGTAACACACTAAAGCTAAGCTAAATGTAATGTGAAAGGTGAAACTAGACACTGGGTGATGCTCATATGCTTTGTATGGACTCCTACCATAACATAAATATAAAACCTACGCTTAGTTTAAGAATGACTATGGAGGTTGGCACTTGCAGAACCTACACAAATAATACAGACTCCACACAAGCACCACATGAGGACATATGGTCTCATGTAGGAGTGGAGAAGCAGGTTCACCACACTCTGCAAGGCATTCACTCTTCACCTGGGAATGGCAGCTCTTATCATGCCAAGTGGCTTGGTACTAGAAAATGCTACTCTGACCTACTTCTCTCCACCATAGGAGACTGCCTAGAGCTGGTTAGATCTCTATCAACACAACGTTCTATGAACTCCCTGGAGTGTTGGGCTATCTGAAGGCTTCTGTGATTAGCCTTCAGCAAGTAAAGGAATGCACTCAAGAGAATGACAGTCCGAGAATAGCTCATTTGGTTCTGATTTTTCAAAATTGGAAAGAACACTTAAGATCTATCCTCTTGGAAAATTTTAAATATGCAATATAGTATTATTAATCTCGGGCAAATTCATAGTTGTCCACCTATCCCCAAACTCAATGAGCTGCATCCAGTAACTACGCACAGCTTTTAACATGCCAAGTAGACTTCAATGAAAACCAAAGATTGGACAAATGTGGATAGGAGGGTTGTAGTCGGGGCATGATGGGAAGTGATAGGAAACTGCTTCCTCTGGACTACAGTTTTATTGTAAAAGTATATTCAAAAGGTTCTAAAAGGAAGACCTTACATGCTGCAGTTACTATTTCAGGAAAGTAATAAAAGACTGTACATGTAGTTATGCTTTCTGCAAGCTCTGGTATCGCTGGGTCCCCACGCCATGTCACAAGCTAAGGGGACTGTTACAGATTTCTTCAGAACGTTCCAGGATCAGCATTCCATTAGAAGGCTTCCTAGACAGTTTCTTGTGTACACATTTATCCAACGACGGCAATTTAAGTTGTTCCCTTCCTGTATGGTACAGAACATCAGACTCCTAGGGTCCTGTTTTAAAACTAATCATGGTAGACATTTCATCTGACAGAGCTTCCTTAAATGTTTGGACAAGAAGCCATAAGCAAAGCATTTGCACTAGTCCATCTGTCATCACCACTGGACTTCATTAAGCCTGCCATGGTCTGGAATGACTTACCATAGTCACTCTGGGTGCGTATCTTCCTCAGTGTTTGAGTGCTATGCCCTGTTTGGCAGCACAGGAAACTTAAAAAAATGTAACTTTGATTTTAATTCACCAAAGAACATGTCTAGTCCTTTGCCCGAGTGGAGATTCCTCTGTAATGGAAAAGTGTCCATGATCCACCAGCTTTACCTAGCTACACGCTCTCACTCTATTCTAAGGGAAGAGCCCAGCTCCACACACCCCACCGGCAGCCCAAATTAAAGTTGTCGGGAGTTGCATTCTAACCCTGTCCCAACCTAACCTGCCCAGGTGCAATTACTGCAGGGCCTGCACAGTGGGGTCAGCTGTTCCATCCACGTCTTGCGGATGGTGAGGTGAAGCTGACGGATCCTGCCAGCTCAGGCCAGCTCTGACCAGCTCCGGCTGAGGTAAAAGACCTAAGCGCTCCAACCTGCCCAGGACACCCCTCAAAGATTGACTAAAATAGTGTCCAGCCCCTCGCAGAAAGGTGAAGGCAGGTGCCCCAGAGCTCTCCCCAGGAGAAAACCCCGGGGGGGGGGGGGGGGGGAGAAGTGGCCGCAGGAGGCTCCCGGTCCCGCCACTCACCTTCTGCTGCCTCCGGGCCATATCGGTGGGCTGCTTGGCATTGAAGGGGTACGCGATGCACCTCACAACGAAGACGTAGAGCTGCAGGCGGATGCGCCGCTCCTGCTCCTCGTCCAGCTGCCGCTCGGGCTCATCTCGTCCCTCGCTGAGCACCGAGGGGCTCGGGCTCACGGGTCTAGCCGCTCCGCCGCCGCTGCCTCCGGAGCGCCCCGGTGCGTCCCGCCGCCCTTCCCGAGCCGCGGCCGGCGGCGCTCGCTGGGAGCCGCCCGGCGCCACCAGCACCTCGCGGCTCTCCTCCTCCAGCCCCTCGTCCGACTCCTCCTCGCTGGAAGACGGGTCGAGCATGGTGCGAGCTGGGGCCCCTGGGCTCCTGGCCGAGCGAAGCTGTCCCCGCGGGTCCGCGGGAGCCTGGGTCCGCGCGCGGCGGCCGCAGAACGAAAGGGAAAGTGGCCCGGGCTTTCCGGACACGTCGAGTTCGGCGCCCGAGTGTTTGCCGCGGCCAGGACGCGGGGCGGGCGAGCGGAGCCGCGGGAGGCGAGAGGCGGAGTTAGCGCGGGGGCGCTCGGGGCGCCCGGGGACCGCTCGCCCAGCCTCTGGTCCGCCAGCCCGCGCTCGCCCCCAGCCCCGCCGCCGCCGCCGACCCCCCGCCGCCCGCGCAGGTGAGGAACCTGTGGCGCCTCCAAAGCAACACGTGGAATGGAATGTCGAGGAGCGGCCGCGGGGCCGCGGAGTGCGCGTGCGCGCGCCGCCGCGGCCGCCACCGCCTGGGCCAGCCGGGTGTGCCCGGTGCCCCGGAGCGCGCAGTTTGCTAGGAACCGGAGGTGCAGAGCCCGGACGACCCCCGGTCACCGAACAGCGGTCGTCCTGCAGGCTTCCCGTGGAGGTGGTGCTGGAATAGGGGCAGGGAACGCAGTCCTTTAGTAAGAGGAGAGGGACAGAGGTCCGGGAGTGGCTGGGACCCAATCCTGATGCCCTTCGTGAAACTCCAGTGCTGAAAAGTGCGTTCCTGCCCTTCACCTCGAAGTATTCTTACCAAGAGACTTGAAAGAAGTATCTTGCCCTTCCCCGCTGCGGTGGGACACTGCAAGAAGTCCACATTGTAAGCGTCACACACAGCACATGCATTAAAGAAAAGTTGAAGGGGTGTGTGTCTTTTAAACTGGTATATATTTTTGTTTCTTGCAAACCCATGAGCACGTTAAATTTTATATTTGCAAAATGATACTCTGATTCAGAATAAACACAGCTCAACTGTTTCCTACGTTGAGAGAGGATTGACCCAAAACAGGGTGTATCAGTTGGACAGACATTCAACAAACATCTGAGAGCCGGCCAGGTGTCCAGCTGTGTTATCTTGTGGCACAGACACAAGCTAGGGCACACCCCACACAGCCGCTCTCTTTGCTGGCCTCAAGTGGGCGTCTCATAGCTGCACCTGAAGCCTGTATAATCTGTGCAGATTTTTCAATTCCAAAACTGCCTAACAGTTTTGTTGTTGTTGCTGTTGTTGTTTTTGTCATTCTGTAACTTCTGTCCTGAGCCCAGACGAAGCAATATGCAAAACAGACGTTCAACACAAGGTGCAGTGGCCACTCTGGCCGGAAAGTTGCAGATCTCAGGGGAAGTAACACAGGACAAATTAAGCAGCCAGTTTTAAGTTTCTCTGTCCTGTGGCCAAGTAGCAGTTTGGGGTTTTCCATGCCATTTGGTAGTTAGATACACAAAGACAGACTTTCCTTCTGCATCTAACGATGTTCTCCATCAGAAAAAAAGAAGGCTTTTACTTCTAGGGAGCCTTCTCTATTTGTTAATCATTAAGTGGCCCCTTAGTAATAGAAGATCCTTACCAAAGACCTGCCTGCTAGCTGATGATCGATGCTAACGAAAAATATAGCTTAAAACTGATGTATTTAAAGACTTTTGTTTTGGACAAGGTAGACAATTAGTGGAAATCTTAAACATTTTATTTAGGGCCTGACCTTGTGCAGTTTGCAAAACTCGTGAGGCTATTTATCGAATGCCATTACCTAAGTAGCCCCCTAAGGCAGGTAGGTGACAGTGTTCTGATGATCTCCCTTTGTACCGGATTTTGCTCTAAACTCTCCATGCATTATCTCAGTTATTTATCTTTACCTCTATAGTACAGCTATGGAACCTGAGGCTCCAGCACTAGCAACTGATAGAATAAGGACTGAACACAGGCTTTTACTTCCAGTGGTGGTCTTTTCTATTGTAATTTCTCTTGATCATAGAACAGTATATTAAAATGTGGTGTTTATTAAACTGGGGATGCAATTCTTGAGGACGTAAGAGTACAACTTTATTATAGCCATTCCTCCCTTTGCTTTCTAGTCAAAGTATATACTTCAATTTTATTAATTACTAATACTTCTTGGTTTGACAGCTTATTATTTTCTTTCCATTTGATGCCATAGCTTATTTCTTCTTATTAAAAATATTAGAAGTCAAAGATCTCCAAGCTTTGGAGATCCCACAGGAAAACTTGTAATATTAAAAAAAAAAAGCCATCCATGAAGATGAAGATAAAAAGCATAATTTAAATATTCAAAAAGGAAAGAAAGAAGGGTAAAAGAACAAATAAAGGAGTAGAGGGGTACACATATCAATTCATAGGGTGTAAAACAGGGGACAGGTAGACTCTAGATATAGGCAGTTACGTGTTAGGATTTGGGAGATAAGTAAAATCTGGAGATAGATTTTGTGGTGGTTTGAAAGAGAATGGCCCCCGTGGGCTCATATATTTGAATGCTTAGTTCCCAGTTGGTGGAAATGTTTGAGAAGGATTAGTAAGTGTGATGTTGTTAGAGGAAGTGTGCCACTGGGGGTGGGCATTGAGGTTTCAAAAGCCCATTCCCTACATATCTCTCTCTGTCTCCTGCTTATGGATCAGGATGTCAGCTCTCAGCTGCTGCTTGTAACACAAATGTTAAAAGGTTTTATTAATTAAAAAAAAAAAAAACAGAGCCTGATATTGGGGTAAATGCTGAAAGATCATAGAGACAAAGGAACAGCCACATCTTACCTCTTGGACTCCTCAGCCCCAAAAACCTCAGCCAATAAGCCTCTAGCTGAAAAATCTTACTCAGCTGAAAAGGCATTAGTTCCTGTCTCCTTACACCTTATATACCTTTCTCCACCCACCACATCACTTCCTTTTTAATGCTGGAATTAAAGGCATGTGACTTCCCAACAAATGCATGGATCTCAAGTATTGGGATTAAAGGTGTGTGCCACCACGGCCCGACTGTTTCTCTCCTATACTGGATCAATCTCATGTAGTCCAGTATGGCTTTGAACTCACAGAGATCCAAACAGATCTCTGCCTCCTGAATGCTAGGATTAAAGGTGTGTGCCACCACTGTCTGTCTTCTATATTTAATTTAGTGGCTTGTTCTGTCCTCTGATCTTCAGGCAAATGTTATTTGGGTACGCAATATATCACCACAGCTGCTCCTGTGCCATGCCTGCCTACCTACCTACAGCCATGCTCCCTGCCATGATGGTCATAGACTCACCCTCTGAACTGTAAGTCCCCAATAAACTCTTTCTTCTATAAGTTGCCTTGGTCATGTTGTCTCTTCACAGCATTAGAAAAATAACTAAGACAGATAAATAGTTGGTGTTTTAGTTAATATTTTGAGAAACCACAGAGGTAGGGTGAGGCATTGCAGCTTCATTGGCAGTTGGTCTGTGTTTGGGAGGCATGCCCTTGGTTTCCAGGGAAGGAAGTAATGAATGTCTACCTGAGAAAATAAATAACTAAATCAACAAATTAAAAATGGGTGGATACATGACTGAGGGAAGCAAGCATATTTCTGTTTTTGCTTTCAGTCTAACTGCTATCATATTACAATTGGCAAAATTCCAGCAAAGCTCAGGTGACAGGCTCCTGGTGGTGGAGCTCTGCGCAGGTGGCAAGCCTGCCTGACTAGCCACCTGAGTAGACTGTGACCAGAGGATCCTGGTGTTTGGACCCACAGCGATGATAGCATGGATGAGGCCAAATTCTGTTAGCACATCCTAGATTGGTCCTTCCTACTGATATTACAAAACATCTTGAAGAGTTCAAGACTTCAATCCCTGTAACTTGCTAAATCATTCCCTTTGTTTCTGCTGGGCAGAGTGTCATCTTCCTTCTTCCCATCTGTATAGTCTGGTGTTGAACATTGCAGCAAACTTCCCCTGGACTATGCCTGAATATCCATTCTGAATGCATAAGAAGTAAGAAAGAGAGAGAGCAGAGGAAGTCCTGAGTGAGTGAAGACCTGAGTGACTGTGGTGTTAACATGGGCACAGCCATGTCAAGGACCCTAATGCCTCAGCCTCATGAGAGTGGCAAAGCCTTCCCCGGATGAAGTTCAGAGGTATGGCAGTCTTCCTTGTGTCCATGTGTGGATTTTGATAGTTGTGTACAGAATATGTCCACTGTAGCTTTTCTCCCCCGCCCCATCCCGGGATGTTTACAGCCTGAAGACTGCTTTCCCACAGAGACTGCTTTTGTCTCCTTCATCTTGTTGTATACCATAAACCCTGATTGCTTGTCTAGTTGTCTGCAATAACACCCTCAACCCTATCCAATGGTGTGTCATATATTCAGCTGCCAGGGAACTACAACTTCTCTGTCAGAAAGCCCAGGTAATCAGATCCCAAGATTTCTGTGTATCCGTTTTTGTCTTTTCTTCTCACCCCTAGTCACAATTACAAGACCCAAGCCATACAGGGGCTTGGCAGGACAAGACGTTGATGAAAAATTACTTGGCTAAACCTGGGTTTGGTCTCTATCAAGATAATGGTGCATGACTATAATTCCAGCACTCCAAAGATGGAGGCTTACAAGTTCAAGATCACATTTGTCTACATAGGGAGCTTGAAGCCAATATGGGCAACACAAGATCTTGTCTATATAAATAAGTAAATAAGTAGTTTTATTTTTTAAGTGTTAATATCAAGTAATGTGGGGGCACTGAAACCAGAAACAAGCCACTGTGAGAAGATAACTAAAGAAAACGTCTAGGAGAGAGGATGAGTGCTCAAATTTAAGAGGAAAGGAGAAGGAAAGCTTACAAGGCAACAAAAGATGATCATCAAATTAATAAAGTAACACAAGATTCCCCCCACCAAAAAAAAAAAAATCAAAAAGCATGTGTTTTTCTAGCATGTAGATTTCAGACTGTGTAAAAAAAAAAATGACTTAAAAGCAGAGGGGATGCTATTTGGGAAAAGAAACAGGACCAGTGGGACGGGATAAAGAGGCAGATAAAGTAATGGGGAGTGAATTAGATGACAGAGTATGATTTACGTGTAGGAGAACATCGTGATGAGACCCATTGTAATGTACAAAGAATCTACACTAATTGAACTGGCAAAGAGAGACACAGAGAAATCAATGGACCACTTATGGGGCACTCAAGAACAGGAGGACCACGAATAGAATACACATCCCAGAACAGAGTAACTCCATTAATAGTAGACACTGAAATATGGACTTTCAGAAGACTAGTAAAATTGGAGAACCATCAACTCTTTGAGTGTTTTATGTTGCATATCAGAGAAATTGTAGACATAGTTACAAATGTAAACTACTAAGTCCAGACAGGGAAATCATCAGCATGTGAGTGGTAGTTGAAGTCACAGATGTGCACAATAAGGTCCAGCAGGAATGAGTTCAGGAAATGAGGGCTGAAGATGTGAATTTTCTCAGATGTCCTCTCCTTAAGGAATGGGGGGGGGGGGGGGAAGGAACCCAAATTGTGACTATTCAATATAAGTAAATTTAATGCTAATAATTTTAATTAAATTTTTCTACTTTTTCTTGTAATTGAGTTTTTGTCATATTCCCCCTAACATATTACCTTTTTGGGTCAATATTATGCTATTTGATGCTCTGAATAATTGATGATATGGCGCACAACATAAAACTATGATTGGTTTGTACCATTTCACAAATGCATGTAATATACTTGGGTTATTTGGTGATTTATTTTTACTTTGGTAAAGGTGAGCATAAAAACAAATTGAAGTTATACAGCTTTTTAATGAAACACCTCAAATGCTAAAGAAAGATGGATGAACAGTAATAAAACATAAAATGTGTTTTGGCAATGATATTTAAATAGGTATGTGATCTGAATACCTGTAGGCAGGCAGTTCTATGCTGAACTGACTGGTGCTTGACATGAAAGGAAAGATTTAACTCTTTCAGTTACGGATTAAAAAAACATTCTTTCCTTGAATAGAATATGTACTATTCTGAGGACAATCAATTTAGCCCCTAAGAAGATACATATGGAACAGATATGAGAACAGAACAAATAATTATGTTATCCCTGGTGTTAGAGAAAAATTATCAAAATTTTCTTAAGCTGGAAATGAATGTTTTATTGTGTTATGTCATGTAACTGGAATTAAAACTATTTTTCAGCAAAAAATATTTTTCATGTTGAATTGAAGATCCGTTTTGTAATATTTATAAGAAAACTGTCAGAGTACAACCCAACTAATAAATAGCACACATTTACAAAGGTAAAATGAAAATTATGATTATTTTTGACACTTTGAGGTGACCATTTATGAGGCTACAATCCTCCTGAAAGATTCATTTCAATCTTAATATTTTTCTTTCTTCCCTCCAGTTAGAATTTGAGTTCTAGAAGAAATTGTTCAGAGGCCCAACAATTTGTAGATAATTGTTGAAAATATGTACAAATGATTAGCATAAATTAACTGCCAGTGAGCAACACATGCCTAACACCACACACACACACACACACACACACACACACACACACACACACACACACACACACAGAAAATTTATGAAGATTAACATAAGGGAAAATACTTGAAAGACTATCTCATATATAAAATCTAGTATTTTACAGCTATTAGTGTGACTTTCTTATTAGCTTTAATTTCAGATATAGAACTAGACAAACAACTAAAGTTACAAAGAATTATATAATTTTTTGTTGGATTTTACACAGCTCAGATTTTATATCCCTGGATTGTTAGCCTTCAAACAACCAGACCAACTCACAAATATTCATTGTGATATTTTATTATGATTTTAGGAGTTTTATAATTTCTGGAGGCATTACACTAGCTATTGATAGCAGTTTGGTTGGTGTCTAATTTTTCCATGCTATGAGAAATTTGAAGGAAGCAGACAAGAGTGAATTGGATTGTAAAACGCAGGAAGGAATAAAGAGGTAGAAACATACTGTGCTAAGCAGCTAAAACTGTCCTGAGGAAAGATCACATTAGTTGAAGATACATATATGTATATAATCATAGTTTCTAGGGAAACTGATATTAACCTCTGAGACTCATACTTTAAATCTTAGAATACCTTTGTGCCATGTAAGATTTTCGTGACAATGGATGAAGTCCAGAAAGTATGCTCCAAAATGGACAAAGCAATAAGAAGACAGAATCTATTTTTTCCCTCCAGCTTTCATGGGTTTTTTTTTTTTTTTGGACTTATATTGACTTTGTTGTTAAATGCATTTTCTGCCAGTCAATAGCATGTATTGAGTGCCTCTTTTATATTAAGCACTATGATAGGACACTGTAAAGAGAAAATTGCATTGATTGACTAGGAACTCAAGCAAGTCTCACATGTAAGATGAGAATTCTACTATGATAAACAACTTGCAATATGTCAACAATAGTTCTCAAGAAAATAACTACAGTGGAGAATTTTCCCAAGAAATTGTCATTAAATGGCATCAAATGGGAAAATGGTGATGCTTGGTTATTAAATATATATTTGCTCTATTCTGTGGCATTTATTGCTAAACTCAATTTCAGGATACATTTTCATTCTTAAGAGTTATTAATGACCCCAACTATTTTTGTTTATATAGATTTTTATTAATTTTCAATATTGCTCATATTAGAAAAGAAAAACAATAAAGTAAAACAATAAAAGCAATTGTCTTAGTTACTTTTTTATTTTTTTTTTGATAAGACAGCACAAGCAAGGCAACTTAGAAAAGAAAGTGTTTAATTTAGAGATTATGATTTCAGAGGGTGAGCCATAATGGGGAGCATGTATGGCGGCCAGAACAGCTGAGAACTAACATCTTCTTCTACAAGCATGAGTCAGAGAGAGCAAACTGGGAATGGCATGTGCTTTTGCAACTTTGAAGAAGTGACACCTTCCTACAACAAGACCACACCTTTTAATCCTCCCCAAATAATTCCACCAACTTGGGACCAAGTATTCAAACATAGGAGCCTATGAGAGCCATTCCCATTCAAGCCACCACAATAGCCAACTTCTATATACCATAAGTTGCATACTTTTATTTAAAATACTATATTCACAAAATAGGTTTCATGAAAAGAGTGGGATTATTTTACACACTACAGAGTCCTTTAATATCATCTGGAATCTCATATCAATTTCTCAGTTCATGTGTTACTATACATTATTTTGGTTCAAATGGATTAAAAACCATGCCTCGCATAAATATTTGGCTTAAAGGTACTATTTAATAGCTTTTCAATCTTATTCTTGCTAGAGGAAGGATGTCTCTGGGGGCATGTCTCTGTACCATCCCCAGTGTTTCTCTCTCTTCTCTCCTCTCTGTCTCTGTCTCTCTGTCTCTCTGTCTCTCTCTGTCTCTCTCTGTCTCTCTCTCTGTCTCTCTCTCTCTCTCTCTCTCTCTCTCTGTCTCTCTCTCTCTCTCTCTCTCTCTCTCTCTCTCTCCTTCCTTTGTGCTTACAGTTCAAGATGTGAGCTCTCAGCTTCCTGTTTATGTTGTCGTGCTTGTTGAATGTCACCATGCTTCTGCTCTGCCGTCATGAATTTTATCCCTGTGGAACCATAAACCAAAATAAACTCTCTTCCTAAAGTTGCCTTGGTCAAGGTATTTTATCACAGCGACAAAAAGTTAACAAATAAAGTATGAATATTCTTCTTTGACATTGCACCAATACTCAGCATGTAGTAGTTTATTTAAGTTTAGATGTGATTAAACTGTATCAATACATTTTTCTTAATATATACAACTTAACAATTTATCACTGTATCTTCTACTTTGGATGGATCATTTTTTTTTTTTTTTTGCAATACAATTCAGTTCTACATATCAGCCATGGATTCCCTTGTTCTCCCCCCTCCCGGCCCCCTCACCTTCCCCCCAGCCCCCCCCCCCCATTCCCATCTCCTCCAGGGCAAAGCCTTCCCCACAGACTGAGATCAACCTGGTAGACTCAGTCCAGGTAGGTCCAGTCCCCTCCTCCCAGGCCGAGCCAAGCAATCCTGCATAGGCCCCAGGGTTTCAAACAGCCAACTCATGCAATGAGCACAGAGACACCCGGTCCCACTGCCTGGATGCCTCCCAAACAGATCAAGCCAATCAACTGTCTCACCCATTCAGAGGGCCTGATCCAGTGGGGACCCCTCAGCCATTGGTTCATAGTTCATGTGTTTCCATTGGTTTGGCTATTTGTCCCTGTGCTTTATCCAACCTTGGTCTCAACAATTCTCGCTCATATAAACCCTCCTCATTCTCGATAAACTGGACTCCCAGAGATCCACCCAGGGCCTAGTCATGGATCTCTGCATCCAGATCCCTCAGTAGTTGGATGAGGTTTGTAGCACGACAATTAGGGTGTTTGGCCATCCCATCACCAGAGTAGGTCAGTTCGGGCTGTCTCTCGACCATTGCCAGCAGTCTGTTGTGGGATGGATCATTTTTGTATACATGATTTTATAACAACATCCATGTGCCATTTGGAAATTTTTTATTTGTTGAATCATAGATCTTCCAAATGGTGATAGTTCACTATATAACATCAAAAATTCCATTTGTCACTATCAACCTCAAACGGAGGATGTTTAAGTGCTTATGTTAGTTATTCTGCTGTTGCTGTGATAAGACACTGTGACCAAAAACAACTACAAAAGCAAGATATTCTTTGATTCTATGGTTTCAGAGGAAGAGTCCATAATGGCAGGGAGACATGGAAAAAAAAAAAAAACTGGAACAGGAAGCTGGAAGATCACATCTTCAGCCACAAACACAAATAAAAGAGGGAGAACAGGAGGAGGAGGCAAGGCTATGAACTCCCAAAGGCTGCCACTCTTGATGGACTTTACCCAGCAAGGCTGCACCACTTCTTCAAACAGTACCACTAACTGAGGACCAAGGTTCGGATACCGGAGCCTATGAAAGACAATTCTCATTCAAACCACCATAGTACTGGAGAATTGTTAAACTCGGTGGAAGATGAAGTTTTACAAGACTGGAACTTTCACTTGAAAACTTGAATTTTTATCGCTGGCAGCAATACTGCCAATGCTTTTCACTAAATGGCAGCTCACTGCATTCACTTCGGGGGGGTGGGGGGAATGTCTGCTGGAAACCCAGGCCTCAGAGCTGTCATCCGTGTGTCAGTTCTCTCAAATAAAACCCTAACTCCAGGGCTAGAGAGATGGTTCAGCTGCTGAAGTGCTTGCATTCCAAAAGTGAGGGACCCAAGTTTGATCCTGCGCGCACGTGTAAAACACCAGGCATAACAGCAGACCCTTGTAATCCTAGGGCTCTAGAGACAGGGACAGCAGTTCAACCGGGAGCTAGCATATTGGCACATCTGGTTGAATGAGTGAACTCCAGGTTCAGCAGATGTTACACTGCACTGAATAGACATATATAGTAGCTTCTGTGATACTTAGATATACAGAATCTAAAATGTTTTCTTTCATAGTATAAACATTCAG